CAAGCTGGCATCTTCTCCAGCCAGAGGTTCCCAAATGACTTTGAAAACCTTGCTCTAAATGTTTTCTTTAGGACCATTTCATTAAATTGAAGGGTTTAAAATGTTTTTTTATAAAAATTGCTGAGCTTCTGAAAGCAATACCTTGGGCACATGCAAGTGGAGTATTCAAAAAACAACCACTTAAAGGTGACACCAAATGGAATCAGTTGTGTACTTCAGAGCAGGCTTAGGACACCTGGGCTCATCAACTTCCACTCCTCATTATATTTAGCACAAAACCCTCTCGAGGCCCTGTGGATGAGGAAGAAGAGGTCTGGGGGTGCCCTTTCCCACACAGCCCCCTCAGTACTGGGTTATTGCACTATATTTTTTTATTTTTATTTTTATTTTTTAAATATGCAGCAGCACAATATAAAATCCATTTAGAAACTGGGCTTGCTTGCTGCTATTAAAGAATCCATCAGTGAATTTCATTTTTTATTGGTTCAGTTACAAAACTCACAGCAGTGGTGTTGTGTTTGTTTTTCCAGAGCACCAATAAAAATCTTTTTGATTAAAAAAAATGAGAGAAAGAAAGAGAAAGAATGAAAAAAGAAAGAAATTAAAAGCTGACCTGGTATAACCCATGTGAGCACTGAACCTCAGCGGTGTTATATAAAAAGAACAAAGAGGCAGCAAAGCCAATAGCTGAGCAAATGCTTGACTGCGGTTACAACCAGCAATGATCGAAACTTGTTTATGACAGCATAAAAATAAGCACGATCAAGCTCTGCTGTATTAAACCAGGTTCAGTTATAGATTGATTACTGAAGAAATATGGCAGATGTAAAGACCCAGGAAGTCAACAAAAGCTCTTTCTCTGCTTTTCCATGGTTCCACTCTTGCTACACACAACCCATACAGTTGGTTCCAGGTATTCTGGAGGACACAATGCCATATTGCTTCACAGCTGTCTCTTTACAGACTTTTCTTCCCCTACAAACAAACATCTCAAAATTTATTGCCTTTGTGACTTGCAGTTGCATCTGGCCTACACGCAATCTTGGAACCAAGAGGAAAATTGTGAGCAATAGCTATTGTAAAGACAAATATCCCAAAGACAATAGTCACATTGCATCGGGTGCTATGCAGAAAAATTGTGGATACATCCTAAGCCAGGGTCATTGCTTTCTGCAGGAACATACACAGCAAAGTGATAGCCCAGTTGCACTGTGGTTGGGATCTAGGTTTCCAAAATGATGCCTATGAAGAACGAATCTAAGAAGTTTGATTTTCATTTCTTTGGACTGATTGCAATTCTATGCAAATCAGAATATATTGTAATTGCATTATTATGATACAGCTGTAACAGGAAATCAATTTTTTTTTTCAGAGTGAAAACAAACATTAACACATATACTTGATACTGCAAGTCTAGTTAGGCGAGCTGCTTTTTTAAAAAATATATTTTTTTTTCCTGCTTTTTTTTTGTAAATTATTTCTCAAAATATAATTGGTTAAATATACTTATAAAGAAAAAGCAATTAAAGGAAAAAATGCTTAAAAATACATTTTTTTTCCCCAGTCTCAACTAGGAATACTAACTTTCAAAATATCAGCTAGAAGATATTTTTATGGCTTAGTCTGTAGATGAAAAACGCAAGTGGGGTAAAACTAAGAATTTTTAACATTTCATTTGTGTTTCTAATTTTTTTTGTAAGTCCTAGAAAAGTAAGAAAATGAATTCTCTTTTAGTCATAGTTGTCAGATATTATCTGTTACAGCTTATGAGATGTTAATAAGCTGCTCAGCTTTGGAGATCATTAAGACCTGTTGATTGTCAGCTGGCCCATGACAGCACAGGTGCTGGTGCGAAGGCATGGCTTTTGGTATGAATTCCACAGACATTCATATAACCCAGAAACATCCTCACAGGCAAGAAAGAGGGGAACAAACTTAGGCTGACTAAAACAGCTGTTTGAAACTGGAATTAATATTTGCAAACACTCTGTCAACTTTGGCTGTCTTTAGAAACGATCTTCAGAGGACCACAAATCCTGTGAAGAATCAGATGGCATGAGTGTTGCTAAGCCTCTCAGACACTTTCAAACATCTTTGCTTTACAGCTTGTCTAACTTTGAGAAGAAATTAAGGCCAGCTGTCTTTGAATATACACTTATCAGTGTCTGCATGGCTGGATACTGACAGTGCATTTACCAAGTCCAGCTTAATCCACTTGGGAAACAAGCCATTAAATAATCCCTAGGAGAGAGCTGAGCAAGAGCATCCACTCTGGGCATTACTGTGCTTCGCAGTCACGCTCCAGCTTAGTCCGTATATGCAAGTGCTTGGACTTCAGATAAGGAGGTGTTAACTGAGTGGGAAGTTTGTCGCAGTCAAAAATCTCCTAACGCCTGGGAAAAGACACCATGCACAAGAGCAGGAGCCCATGTTCTTTTTCTGTCTTCTTGTGGGTGGGAAACAAATAGACTGAGCAAATAGCACACACAAGGAAATCTTTGGGGATTAAAACATGATATGCTGTATTTCAAACAGAGATTTAGATAGGCCTCATAGAAGAAGGAATGTCTCCCTCACAGCTTCTATGTTATCCTGATGCTTTTCTTGCTTTCTTCTCTCACCAGGACTTCTCTCCAAATGAAAGTTCATTTGCCATTGGGGTGCACGTACAGAAAACAGCAAAATCAAACTACTATTTTTGCTGGGGCTTTTTTTTTTTTTCCACCCTGTCGGCAGAACAGATCTTAAACGGACACAAGAAAACTATTATGCTAAGACTGTTCCCAGAACAGGAAAAGTCCTCTCCCATCCTCATTAACATTGTAAAAAGTATTTCAGGCTTGCAAGTGCTATAGGAAAGGTTTGACAGACATGACTGTTGACTCAGAATATTAGGAGGGATTGGAAAACAACTGGCTGAAGCTTTCTGAACATCAGCGTGACTGCCAAAGAAAGCATCAGCACCCATTACTTCATGAACCAACATGTGATTTGCAGAAACGCTTACATGACTTAGAAAGTCTAAATCCCACTTTCAGAGGGGGCTTAGTCATCACAAAGTGATTTGAACATCTCAGTACATTTGAGATTCTGACTATTCAAAGTGCAACTTCCAGTGGAAATGAACAGTTGATCATAAATTTCAAAGTACGAGATTCCTCCTACACAGGCTGTTGGGGGAAATCAAAGCCCTTGTGAAATACATTTCCTCCAGCATTACCTCCACACCTGCACTGAAGCCAGAAAGAGCTACAACAGCAGTATCCTACATCTGCTAACAAAGGCTGAGGTAGTACACATGGAGATATCTATGTGGCAGCAACATCAGAGAGTGTTGCTGGGAAGAGCTGTGCTTTTATAGGAAGTGGGCAACTTCCCACACGTGTATGAAGTTGCTAAAACACAAACTTCTCACCCATAAAAACACAATATACCTTCCATAAAAACACAATATAGCTTCTGACTTTGCATGCAAAATTCTTAAAAAAAAAAAAAAAAACCCAAAGAAAAAAACACAACAAAGAAGGACATTTACATAATGCAGAAACATTTTTGATTCAGTGAGCAAATAGAGATTGAGAAGCTTCAGTGCACATTGATCGGATAGGACTGCAGTTTTCTTTCATTTTGTTAGAACCATGCAACAAGGATGTACTGCATCAGGCCTAGTCTAGGAGACTGTTTCTTTAATATGGAATCTGCACTTGTTTAAAACAATCTTCTCACTTTTCGCCATCATAATCACAAGAAATTAACCACCCATCTGCTGTAAATGGGTGAAGCTGCTACATCAATATTTTATCAAAGGCACAACAAGACTTGTACTCTGGCAGATATTATAATAAAAATCACTGCAAAAAGTAACAATCAGCAGAGAAATTTGTATAATAATATAATAATATTTGTATAATACAGCATAGGATCTGGTGTATTAGTTTGGCACACACATAAGTAGAAAAACTGACCTGAAAATTTGACCTAAGGACTCCGGAGGGTAGAATAGAGGGGGAAAATTGCATCCCTTGCCTTGCTGGCCACTGTTCTTTTGATGCAGTCAGTCCAGTATACTTGTGGCTTTCTGTGTCACAAATGCACAGAGTTGGCACATGTCCAGCTTTCCATCCACCAGCACACCCTCCAGTCCTTCTTTGCATGGTTCACAATGAGTTCTTCTCCCAGTCTGTACTCATATCTAGGATTGCCCCAATCATATGCAACACCCTGCACTTGGCCTTGTTGAAACTCATTAGGTTCTCATGGGCCCACTTTTTGAACACATCCAGGCCCATTTGGATGGCATCCCTTCCTTCTATTGTGTGAAGTGCACCACTCAGCTTGGCGTCATCAGCAAACTTGCAGAGATGCACTCAATCCCACTCTCTATGCCATTAATGAAGATATTGAAGAGCACAGGTCCCAAGACAGACCCCTAAAGGACACCACTCGTCATGAGCCTCCAACTGGACACAGATTAGTTAACCACAATTCTCTGACCACATCCAGCCAATTCTTTAACTACTGAACAGTCAACCCTTCAAATCCGTATCTTTCCAATTTTGTGATAAATTTAGTCATAATAATCATATATCAAGCTTCAGGCTAAACATTTTGCCATTTAGAAGCCTTAGATCAGCAGCTGAAGTGGTATTTAGGTTTAACGGGCACACAGTAAAGTGCTGCTTAACTAACCAGCACCAAACCTAACGTGAGTGTTTCAAAATATGATTAAAGTTCAAGAATTCTCTCTATGAAAATTTCCATTTTATTAACTAAAAAAAAAAAGAACACTGAAAATTTTCCACAGAAAAATGCCTTAAAGTAAAATATTTCATTTTGAATCAATTCAGTGTGAATGGAACACCTCCCACAAAGGAAAGTTTATTTGTGATGATATATTACCTGATATAAACTGAAGTGCCAAATACTAAAACCTCATTTTTTTTTAGTGAGTTAGGCTGTTTGCTTGGACTACCCAAGATGAAGAACAGAAATCCTCCTACCTCAGTCCATTTAGAAGATGTCTGGAGACACATGATTCTTGCCTTATGACGGCCTCATGTTATCACTCACATCTGCATGAGCCTCTGCAGAAACAAGAAGAAACAAAACCGAAGAGACCGTAAAGAAACCTTGAAAGAGAAAGACCATGTGATAACTAGAATAGCTAGAGGCTTTTTTTTTTTTTTTTTTTAAATCTATCTTGCAATACAAATGAGGCATCTGAAAATTAGCTAAGATCATACTGATGGTCTTCCTAAGGAGTGCTATGGCACAATTAGGGAAATGATGCAGATGATTTGCTAAGCATCACCATCATGACTTCCAAAACCATGGAAAAGTACTGTTCCAAAACGTCAAAGCATTGTTTTCATCTATAATGCCAGCTGAGCAGGCCAGTGAATTCATTCCTGCTTACCAATAAACTTTTATTTAGTTTTCCACTGTGAGATTAGATCATGCAGGAAAAGTTCAAAATAATACCGTAAAAAGAGATGAACTCACACAAGATTTTCATTGGTCATTGGAAAAAAAATAAAAAAAATCTGTCAAACTACTGAAAATGAATTAACTTTGGATACTTGAATACATAAACATTTCTGTAAAAATGCTTCAGGACAAAAAAATTTATTTACCGTGCCCTCCAGGGAAATGTACCTCATCAATCCCTTGTCACTAAATCACTTGCTAACAGTTATGGTGTGAGGTAAAGTGCTGTTTAGTCCCAATGAGTTTAAAGACCTTGATGCCTAATGAATTCTCCTATTCATACTGGAGGTTACATCTGTACTAGGCTCTTTTAACAACCTGGTGCTGAAAAGATCTGATGTAATTTTATTATTTACTAAACAGGTGTCAGTAATCATATCCAATGATGTCAGGCAGCTTGATGGGAATTTGCTTTAAGATGACTATCAGAGACAGCACTCCATAACCATAAAAAGGCTCTCCTCTAGGTAGCCAGAGCCTGACAGCACGTTTACCTGGCTGACTGAGTGAAGGCTAGTTAGTGTCGTCATGAGCAATTACTGAGGGTAGTTCATAGTGCCAGAGTTAATTCTGAAAACCTCATTAACAAAGTTAAGACTTGTTAAGTTCTTGGGGTTTGCTTCCTAGAGGAGCCTTTGCTCACGCAACTGAGCACCTCAGCAAGCACAGAACCTGGGTCCTTCCCTCCACCAAAACACGCCTGTGGCTATCCTCCCATGTGCTCAGCAGAGCTGCACCCTTTCAATAGAACACATGGGCACATCTCATTCACCCTGGTTACAGAGGGTGAGTACAAAGGGTTTTTTTGTTTGTTTGTTTGTTTTTATCATTAGGAGATAATGAAAGAGCTGTCAGTGCTGTGCTGCTTCACTGCTGTAAACTAGCCTGTAGGCTCTCAGATTGTTTCTGAGTTACTTCTTGAGTAACCCCATGGCCACCCCTTCTGGGCAGGACAAATCCAAGCACAGGGCTGGAATTAAAATTGCTTTACATTTACTAACTTGTGCAGCATTGATGTGCAGTGGGTTTGCAAAAGATTTTGGCTTTGCATCACCATTCCCTTGGCATGAGAGAAATCTGTGGCAAAAGGCAGAAACGCCGTCTTCTGGATGACTTATGCCTGGGCCATTTGCAAGATGAGGCTCCTCAACTTGTAGAACTTATTTTCCTCCTAACATAAAGTTTATCTAGGCTATTAAATATTTCTACCAGATTTGCTTTTAAGACAAAAAAAAAGTCTGTTTTAGCTAATTGAAACTTTTCACAGAAAACAAACCAAAAAATTCTACAACAGAAGGAAGATTTTGGCTGAAAAACTTTCTTGTTTCAGCCTCACACTGAAAACTTTCCAGGTTAGACTAAAAAAAATGTTTAGTCTTCAGTGACAATGTTAAATTTTCCATGGAAAAAAGAAATGTTTCCCAGAGATGTTAATAAGCTACAAGCTGTATTCCTCATTGCTGGAAACGTATTTGTTTGACTATATAATTTCAGGCACTAATTTTGCATTCATATGCCTAAAGTTTTAACAGCAGATTGCTTATTTTCATCAGAGCAGCAAAACAGCATCAAAACTCTATGCAGGCTTTCACTGCACATATACAGTCATCCTAATTTGTTCAGTTTGACACGTAAATTAAAGGCATTATAAAGTGGCATTTGAATTCACAGCAAACTTGCTACCAGTTATTTCATCTGCACATGGTCAGTCTACTTTGGCTCTACTCGATGTTGGTAGTTTGCTCTAACACACTTTCCAAAATGTGTTATATTAAACACACACTTCTTCAGATTTGAAGAGTAGATCATAAGCCTGGAAGTTTATCTACTTTTTCCAGCTACATCAGTTGTATCTTATAAAACACATTACCAAGTTCTTGTCTTGTTTACATCCCACAAAGGCAGTCTTAGTGTAGAAAATGAACGTTGACTCAACGGAATTGAATGGGCTTTGTCAAACTAGGATCCTGACAGGTTGTGTTTTTTTTTTTGCATCCACCAATACATGATACCAGTAAATTTCAGTATTTTGTTAGCTTAAATAGAAAAGTTTCTACTCTGTAAGAACTAATTTTCCAGCTCTAAGACTATGTGATTTTTAGAGTTTTTTTCCCTTTCAGTTTTGTTACTAGGTAGTTAGTTCTTCCTTCCTTAATGGCTATTTAATAAGACCCAGCTGATGCTCAATGAAGTGACCAAGCAGCACCTGAAAGAGATGGGATGTAACATTCATATAAAGTGCCTGAGTACAATCATTGTTATTAAAAGGATAACCAAATGAATTCATAATGATGGGACACTCATTTCAAAGTGTTTCCATAGCTGTTACACATCAGGAAAAATAGGGAAGTTACCTCATTTTCTCCAATCCTAAATAACCTAATAAACTCACCAAAGAAATTAATTAGCCAATATTTCTTGAAAATTCATAACAAAGTTTCCATTTTTCCGTCAGATAATTCCTTAGTGCATTCTGGTTTTTAACTTCCTTCAAGTCTGGATCATTTTGATGTGTGAACAGACATTTTGTGTTTCCATGGGTTATTTCCACAGGTTCAAATATCTTATGTAATTGACATTTTCCTGCTTACAAAAGCTGTCAAACTTAAAAGTAGCAGTTGATTGATAAAACATGGGTTTTGTCTGTAACTTAACTTCATTGTTGGGGCTTATTGCTCAAGCTCTGAATAACTCCTCTCTTCAAAGTGACATGCATTCAATTTTTTTTTTTTTTTTTTTTTTTTTAAGCACCTACGTTTTAAAGCTTAAAAGCAGCAATTGCTTTTTCTTTTTTTCTTACAGGTAGATCTCAACAATTTCTTCTCTTTACAATTGCTACTTTTTAGATAAAGACTGCAACTTGACTTTAAGTCCAAGCTCAGTATAATAGTGATTCACAAACATTTATTCTTTCCAATCCTGACAATTAGAAACAAGAAAACAAAAAGAGCACTACATCCATGGCATTTACAGAGGACTACAGCTATATGGGCCATAAAGCAAATGACAAAGACTGTTTTTAATAACAAAAACAACAATTATGAAAAGAGCGTTTCTTCTAGCTATGACAAATGCAGCACAGTGTGATCCAGAGCCCTATTGGTATTTTTTTGTTTGCTTGCTGGGTTTTGGGTCTTGCTCTTGGTTGAGGACATGAACAAGTTGGTATAATTGAAACAGACACAGTGATAGTGCAGAGGAGTGCATGGAGATGGCTGTTGCCTTTGTCTCTGTGCAAACCATCCTCAATGTGATGCTTCGTGATGGGCAACCATCTGTGTTTTCCACCTGAACATCAATTTACATTGCAAACACTCAGCAGCTTCTTAACAGCACTTCACTGTTACTGCCCTTTATGCTCAGATAGCCAAGATAGGGATCACAGAACCCCTTCATTGCCCACAAACTTCTCAGTAGTACTGCACCCTGATTTCCTTCACATGGGGCAGAAAACCAGGAGGCAGGTAACATCTGATTCAATAGAAATGCTCTGCTTTGCCCCCCGCAGGGCATCTCGCGTGGTGATGGCCTCCAACAGCCTCCTTGAACCTGCTATGCTCAGAGGTGTCTCAAAACCACCTGTCCCAGCCTGTCTGGGCTTTAATTCTGCACCACTGTAGGCAGCGCAGTCTCAGAATCAAATTCAATTGTCCTGAGCAGGGTTGGATTGAAGCAAGCGCCAATTTTTTTTATTTTTAATTTTTTTTTGAGTCAAGGCCCAGATACAGTAGTTTCACATGCCTTTGGCAGAAAAATGTTATTGCTTTCTGAAGCAGTTGTTTTTTCAATGACATGACTTCCTGCAGGGGCGTTTTAATTATTGTTGGTGTATCAGCTAACTTAGTTATGTATCGCTTTGAAGTTTTTCTTTGCATCTGATAGTAAGAGGATAGCAAATAAACACGACTGTGTTTAGTCGCTTCCCCTTGACCTGCATAGGCTTGGTGCAGCTTCTTCTTTGGATTATGCAAGCATAGGGCAGATGGAAAAGGAGGTCCAAAGGCAAAATGCATGTACTGACACCTTTATGCTAGCAAGTGCGTTCTCTTAAGCTGCCCATATTAACAGTCAAATGGAAGTCACACACACAAACTCCACAATGGCAGGTCAAACCCTGAAGACAGAAAATTGCTCAAGACTAAGAGGGTGCACAAATGTGTTAAAGGACCGTTCCCAGGTGAGAAAAAAAATAAAGTCACAGATTTTGAACCAAATACATTGCAGCAAGAGTCGCTACGCTGTGGCACAGCAGCAAGATTTGCAAGTGTTTGCATATAATTGCATGAAGTGATAGCCCAGCTACCCACAAAACAGACGCAAGGAAATCTTCCTTGTTGTACTGCCAAGGTAGGATGGAAGGGCTTGATGCTAGCCAGATGGCAGCAGAGTATGCACAACCTACAGCGAGCTGCTGAAATACATCTCAGCTCAAGTCTCCTATTACTTCGATGCTTCTAACATATTTATGTACCAAGGGCTGGGTGATGACACCTCATTGCACTCAACTTCGAGTCTTCACTTTGAACAATTTATCTCCTCCCAATCCAGGTAAGTTAAGTATTTTAGATTTCATTTACTTCTTCCTAAGTTAAACATC